CTTTGTGTCTTCTCCTGCTTGGCGTTTGTGCCCCCCCCCCCCCCCCCCCCCTCTCTGTCCTCATTCTGCAGGTACACTATATTGCCAAAAGTATTCACTCACCCATCCAAATAATTGAAATTAGGTGTTCCAATCACTTCCATGGCCACGGGTGTATAAAATCAAGCACCAAGGCATGCAGACTGTTTCTACAAACATTTGTGGAAGAATGGGTCGCTCTCAGGAGCTCAGTGAATTCCAGCGTGGTACTGTGATAGGATGCCACCTGTGCAACAAGTCCAATCGTGAAATTTCCTCGCTCCTAAATATTCCACAGTCAACTGTCAGTGGTATTATAACAAAGTGGAAGTGATTGGGAACGACAGCAACTCAGCCATGAAGTGGTAGGCCACGTAAAATGACAGAGCAGGGTCAGCGGATGCTGAGGCACATAGTGCGCAGAGGTCACCAACTTTCTGCAGAGTCAATCGCTACAGACCTCCAAACTTCATGTGGCCTTCAGATCAGCTCAAGAACAGTGCGTAGAGAGCTTAATGGAACGGGTTTCCATGGCCGAGCAGCTGCATCCAAGCCACACATCACCAAGTGCAATGCAAAGCGTCAGATGCAGTGGTGTAAAGCACGCCGCCATTGGACTCTAGAGCAGTGGAGATGTGTTCTCTGGAGTGACAAATCGTGCTTCACCATCTGGCGATCTGATGGACGAGTCTGGGTTTGGCGGTTGCCAGGAGAACGGTACTTGTCTGACAGTCTGACAGTCTTGTCTGACTGCATTGTGCCAAGTGTAAAGTTTGGTGGAGGGGGGATTATGGTGTGGGGTTGTTTTTCAGGAGCTGGGCTTGGCCCCTTAGCTCCAGCGAAAGGAACTCTGAATGCTTCAGCATACCAAGAGATTTTGGGCAATTCCATGTTCCCAACTTTGTGGGAACAGTGTGGGGATGGCCCCTTCCTGTTCCAACATGACTGTGCACCAGTGCACAAAGCAAGGTCAATAAAGACATGGATGAGAGAGTTTCATGTGGATGAGTTTGACTGGCCTGCACAGAGTCCTGACCTCAACCCGATAGAACACCTTTGGGATGAATTAGAGCGGAGACCGAGAGCAAGGCCTTCTCGTCCAACATCAGTGTGTGACCTCACAAATGCGCTTCTGGAAGAATGGTCAAAAATTCCCATAAACACACTCTTAAACCTTGTGGAAAGCCTTCCCAGAAGAGTTGAAGCTGTTATAGCTGCAAAGGGTGGACTGACGTCATATTAAACCCTATGGATTAAGAATGGGATGTCAATTAAATTCATATGCGAGTCAAGGGTGGTGAGCCAATACTTTTGGCAATATAGTGTATCTCTGATTCAGGAGTTGGGGGATCCAGATTTGTCACTACAACACTCATTATTAGCCTGTTAATAATGATAATGATAATCATTGCTGCTGTTATTATTGTTAACACCATTACACCTATGGATAATCCTATATTATTTTCACTACAACAACCAGTCTGGCAGTGCTTAAATACAACAGTATATACAGATCTCTCTCTCTTCTCTCCTTACCTTGAGATAATTTATGTTGTTATTTGGTGCTATACAAATAAAATTGAATTGAATGCTGCAGGTGAGCTGGTTTAGTGCTACATGTAAATAATACTCACACAGAAGTCTCTGATCTGTGAATAGTCCTCTCTGAGCTTCTTGAGCCTGACAGGGAAGCCTTCCATAGTAATGCTGCACTTGTTGTTACACATCGGAGTAGAGGCTGTGCTGAGGAGGGACAAGAGAACCAGGATGGGCAGGAGGAGAGGCTGAGGAGTCATGCTGGTGGACAAGCTGCTGAAGTCTTCTGGCTGGAGAGAAGAGAAGAGTGGGACCTCAGGAGTTCAGATGCTGCTGGCTTGATGGAGTCAGTGGACCAAGTTTTCTGATAGGAGAAATATTCTTGGTATGATCTTGCTCAAAGATTGAGGAGATAAGTGCAATATTTTTGGGCTCATCTGCTGTCTTATTTTATAGTGACAAAATTGGCTTTAAAGGTGGGGAGGAGACTGACAGGGAAGAAACGGGTTAAAACATATGGCCTACTTCATACAAGGAGGGGAAACATTTTTTTTCACAATCATACAGTACACATGGGGTTTTGTCCTCACATGAGACAGGCTGATTGGCGTTAATGATAATTATTGAGTATCAAGGAAAGAAAAATCTGGACAAAGCCACTTATGGAACACACACACTAGTACTATATATAAATAATATGATTATATATATATATATATTATATTATATTTATCATGGGAGGAGTAACCCACATGTAATGTATGAATGTTTTAATTATATTACTATTATAGTAGTATACTACTATACTATATGCTACTAGTCTTTATCCAGTAAACTAGCACAGGTATGGAACTTGCAAAAATTTGTTTCATTATTACAATAAAAGCAGTAAACCATATTATATTATTCCATGCACTCTCACAATAACAGAGGAAATAGTGCCACTCACATAGAAAAATGATATTAAGTTGTGGTTAGGGTTTGATGACGCTGTGAATTCCCTCTGTATGTCAGACATGCGTAATAAAATTGCCAAGAGTGAAGACAGCTGACTTTGCTGTAAATGGCAAACGTCATGGTATTCTCTCTTGAGATTCCATTATCTTTGTCAGAGAGTAAATAGTTGATGAAGTTTGCACATATCTATATCTACCGTATATTTACATCTATAAATGTACAGATGGGTGACAAATCGTCTTTCTCCAGTAGAGTTCAAGAAACTTGTAGATTCAGTGTCAAGGTGCACTGAAGTTGCTCTGTTGGCACGTGGTTTTCCTACACCACACTAACACACTTTTGGTTTTCCTTTAGATGTATATTATGTAACATGTATGTATCTGTATATATAGAGAGAAAAGGAGAAATCTCATGGAGAAGTGGTGTATGACCCTAAGTGGTGGCAGCGTATGTGGTATTTTCCCGTCAGTACAGTACTTTTTCTGTTGTATGCAATGTGCACTTTCATGCATGCTACAGCTCACTATGTGCAGTTTAAATATTTATGTTGGGCAAGACTGGTATTTTGAAAAATATTGTAGGGAAACCCATTCCAAGTGATTATTGCTTCACAATCTGTGCAACTAAACTTCAGGATGACCTGTCATGGTTCAGGTTAAATTTCATTTAGTGGAATTAGACAAATAAATGTCATGATACAGTGACCACAGACAAATGTGGAAAAACAGTGCACCAATACTAGAAGTAGAGGTTTAATAGCAGAACTAACATTGACTCTACTTTTTGTTACGTCTGTGACCGACTGTCTGCAGATTTGAGAATTGTGTCACAAATATAACCAAATGTGAAGTCAGTAGCAGTGTTTCTGCAGCCAGTTAGCCTACAGGAGCCTGTTTTAATCCTAAAGGTGTCATAGCTGCCATTAGCCTGCATCAATAATGATCCAAACAATTGTCCATACATGATTTTGTGTCCTGTATTTCACTTTACCTCTTTGTTTGATTTGTTTTCACATAGTCAGATGAATGTGTCACTAAGACTAAGATGCCCAGATTTCAGTCAACTGCAATCTGAAAACAATGTTTTGTTAACTCTGAATTTCATAAGTTGCGATAGTTTATTGTGAGCTAACTGGATTTGGAACAAACATTCTACCACAAATAGTGTTTCAAAGTAGTTTTGCTTATATATAATTTACTTTGCCTTTTAAATATTATTATTGTTAGTCAAAAGAAGTCAAAACATAAGGAATGCAAAGAACTGAGGTAGATGAACAGAAATCAGTCTACATCCAGTATGATTTATCAATTTAATTTCTCTGTTATTTAAACAGGTAAAAGTCTCATTAAGACTAAAATCTCTTTTTCAAGAGAGACCTTACCTAGAGGGCACCTTTAAAGCCTTATAACAGCAGTAAATATAAACAGGCAAGACAAGTGTTGCACTCTGAGGAGATCTGAGGAGATAAGTGCATATTTTTGGGCTCATCTGCTGTCTTATTTATAGTGAAAAATTGGCTTTAAAGGTGAGGGAGGAGACTGACAGGAAGAAACGGGTTAAACATACTTCATACAAGGAGGGGAACATTTTTTTCACAATCATACATTACACATCAATTTGTCCTCACATTAGACAGGCTGGTACTAATGATCCCTCTAGATGGGATGTGATGCATCACTGAGGATTACCTCACTGACAATGCTGAGGATCCAGAGACAATGAGAATCAAGTAGGTGTACAATTTTTCCTAATTTTGTTGTTTGTGTGCCTTCTTTTCTGATGTGGCAGTATTGAGGTTGCTAATATTACAGAAATTAATATTACAGAAAAAACGTAATTAATTAGGTCGATGACTTGCTGGTGTAGTGATTCCCAACCAGAGGTTCTTGTATCCCATGAGGTACTGCAGTTGCCAGGGGGGTAGGTGGAAAGATTTGGGCTTTGTGCTGACGTACACACAATTTTTTCTGTAATTTCATTGATCACCACTAGATGGTAATGCAGAGCATGCATCACTTTTTTGTGCTGAAAGAAAACACTAAAAATGAAGTAAGTAAAGTTTATTTAAATAACATCTTTCACAGACAAAAAAAAAAAATCTCTAAGTGCTTTATGTTATAAAAAAGTGCAAAACTTCAAGATGAAGAAATAAAACTAAAAAAAGCAATGCAAAACAGTTGAAATTAAACCATTTGTTTAGTCTGCATAAAAACTTTACATTAGAAGCACACATACAAGACCATAACAGCTCTTTATTTTTGATAAAGAATAAATACTTAAAGTTAAACTTACGTTTATATCATATTAATTATAAATATTGCATTAAAAAATTCATTCCATATGTCAGTGGATAAGAAACACATTAAGACAAACACATTTAGTTCATTCAAGTACAAAATATAATAATGGCACAGATGTGAAGTTAAAGTTGTAATCTTCACTTTGCTTACAAGTCATGTCAGGCTCTTTGAGTTTCTGTGGGATCATGATCATGTTTTCTGGCCGAGTCCCTCCAGCCACTCCAGGACAGTGTCCAGCTCGCCCATGGCCTTCTGTGCCGCCTGGTTTATTTGAAGCTGCTCAGAGAGAAGGAGAGAGAATATGGAAAAACTGGTTTAATGATGAGCACAAATGTATAGAAGCAATGCTCTGTTTGCTTTGTCTTTGGAAGCTGCAGTTGTAACACTGAGTCACATTTCTAACAAACAGGACTGAATATTCATTGACTACAGGAGTGATCAAATCAAATCTAGGTAGACTCTAAATGTAGTCTTAATAGTTTTCGTGGCTATGTTTGTGCACATTACATCTTTGTGTTGTAGATATTGTAATATGATAACTGATATAATTAACATAATAAAAGATTCCCAAAAGAATATTTGTGAGTTGGACTTCAAACACTGCTCACAGCTGCTGAAAATCAATTACATTTCCTCTGGGACTTGCTCCATAGCTCCCTCTTCAGTCTACTGTGAGATTGTGGGACCTAGGAAGATGTTAATGTGCACTACAGTGAGTTATTCCATGCACTACATACCTTGATAAAAGCAACATGGAGGGAGTCAATTGTTCTCTGGGTCTCTTCTCCACAGTGGCAGTGCTGCATAGAGCAGAGCAAAATTATCAGTCTAACTCATAGCTCACAATAAAATCACATTTTGTCATTGAACAACTAACTTACACATTTATGTATATCTCTTCTGATGCTGACAAAAGCGTTGGCCAGGGCGCTGGAGCATCGCTGCTGCTGTGGCTCTGAGGAGGCGTAGTTGCTGAACACTCTCTCGACGTAGAAACGCAGCAGAAGATGCAGGAAACAGCACGTCTGTCCCTCCTGATGGAGACATACACAGGTCAGATTAAAGCAGTTCTCTCATACTTTTATTGCATACTCATATTATACTGTTATACTGTGATACTGCTATACTACTATATATCTTTGAGCAGTCTGTGTCTTAGAAATATGAATGAATATGGAAAATTTGATACAAAGGTGAGGGTGCACAGCATACATAATCGCTAACTGGCAAAAAAAACACCTGACCAAGGACTCACCTGAACATCCTTTATCAATGATTTGTCCAGAAGTTTTACTCCAATCTCATTGTCTCCTGCTACCTGTGATGTAAAAAAACAAAACATTAAAGATCTTGTCTGAATTGCTCACTTAAGTTTCTGAAAGTTTTCCATCCTCTTAAAGGGGTCATAGTTTCTGGTCTGTTTATGTGTATCTGTGTGTAGTAAAGTGAAGTGTAGTGATTGCTTGTGACTACATGTTACTCTGGATGAGGCAGCTGCATTTGTTGATGTTTTATTTTGAGTTAGTGGTTTTGTGTGTATGTGTGTGTGTGTGCGTGTGTGGGTGACTCAAACTCACCACATCTGAACGTATGGTGGAGTAATATTTGCGCAGTTCGTGTGTGTGAACATTGACAGAGCAGCTGTCCAGATGCAGAGTGCGGCTCTCCACAGGTTCACTCAGACAGCTGAGCACAAGGAGCAGGGAGAGAGAGCAGCCGAGCAGCATCTTGATCACTGTGGATATCTGGTGGCAAAACTAACAGAGACAATCTGTTTGTTTAAACCTCTTCAAATAAATTACTATTAGAGTAAATTACTATATGTAGATAAGGATTATCTAAGAATTAATTTAATTATCAATTGTTCTGTCAAATGTCAAAGAATCTTTTAACATTAATTTTTGTTTTGTCAGACAAACTGTCCAAAAATCATAAATACTCACTTCATAATTGTGTGCAAAATTTACAAAATACAGAAGCCAATCAATGGCTTTTTGGCATTTTGCTTAATAAATCACTTAAATGATTAGTTCATTAATAAATCTGTTGCAAATTTTCTGCTGATACACTAATATTTCGGCACCATAGTAAAGCATTCATGTAACAATCATATATATCTATATATATAAAGATAATATAGCTCTAAAGCATATGCAATACATCCTATTCTTCTTTCAAAATCTAAGGCATTGTTATGTTAAGACCATCTAACAGGCAAGCAAATGACCACTGCAATGCTCAAGTACCATCACCCACCACTATCACCCAGAGCACACCTGTGAACTCACCTGTGTGTATGTTACTCAGAGGAAGAGTCCTGAGAAAGCTGTGTCTCTGTGTTTCCATGCTGTCTCCTCTTATAGTGGAGCAAGGGGGATTTTACCAGGTACTGCACAGACACATACACACACATGCACCTGCACATGTACTCCCACAACAGTTGGTTTACAGGAGGAGGAAGTGTGTTGCTATTAAAGGAACTTCCGACTGATGTCTCAATGAGAGTTGAAAGAAAGGGAAAAGAAATGGTCAAAGATTTCCTCCTACCTGAAGTGAAGTCTGGGCTTCACTGTCAGTGATGTGCTGTGTAATTACTCAGTGAGTCATTCATTAGTGTGTCGTCATTCCTCTGCAACTTTAATGTGTTCAGCTGTGTGTTCCTCATTACAAAGTGCTGACTCCATCACTTCACTTATGAGCTTTTAAAATGTGTTGATTTATTGTTTTAGGATGAAAGATGGGTCTGTTTTGCACCAATATCATTTTTGTCTTGTGTTCGACTTCCGATCAATCACCATGTCTGCTCCTAAATGATTAGGTATATACTGGAAATAAAAGCTCCTTTTTGCACACCATGAGACACTTCACTATTTGTTTTCCCTGAGGAGCGCTCTCATTGGCAGTGACCTCACTCCTGTCAGACAAGTCCTGATCGGAAACACCTACCGGACCTGCTCACCCACATGTCTGGCCAGGTTAACTTTTGATGACTGCGGAAAATTTACTTACAGTGGAAAGAATCATGAGCAGGGAAGTCCAATGGAAACAGGAATAGCCTGTGTTCATAGAAGAATGTGAAATCAATAAATAGCACCTATAGCAATATAACTGTAGATAGGGAAGTGCCAAATGTCCCTCTAGGAAGTAAAGTGGTCTCCAAATCCACAACCGCTGTCCAATGAGTAAGTGGTATCAGACTCTTGGACCCCACTGTACATTTCAGCGTCTGCACTTCAAAATAGCAGACAGCACTTCCCAGCTCAGGAATGCTCAATGCTTGTTTCTAACCACTAGAGGTCATCACAAAGTTTTTTGAACCTTGAAAAACACAGTCTCTGATTCTGTTGCCCTGCTTCAGCAGCAACTACTGGTCAAATGTATCTGTGCTTATAATATACAGTTTTACAACTTTAATACAAAGTAGCTGAATTATAATATACAGTTTTACAACTTTAATACAAAGTAGCTGAATTATGGTTAACAATTCAGTACCATAATTCAGCTGTAATTGCAAAGTTGGTTAAGCCAGTGGCTCCAAACCTTTTTTTAGTTGTGACCCTTTAAAACAATGCAATGTCTACTAGCGACTCCTTGTCACAGGTTGCATGTCAGTGATTTACAATTACTTCAACCATATAGTGAACTTACTTTGCCAGATTTTTATTTGAAGAGGCAAAAACAAGCAAAATTAAAAGAATGGTTTGGTGAAAAAACACATTTGTGTGGCAGAAATGTTTTTGTCCTGTCTTACTTTGGTAATTATCTCAATCTTGGTGTTTTGTATTTTGATGCTTTGGCAACACTATTTAATATATAACTATTTAATATTTTATATAGAATTGAACTCAACTGAACTGAATCACTCAACTCGTCAGTTATTTTATCACCCCTGAGGGGTCCTGACCCCTGAGTTGGGAATCATTGGATGACCTAGGCACATGTCATAATTATGCAGTTTTTCTATATTTATCCTTTGATAGAGGTTTGTTTTTTTGTGATATTTCAGTAAAATAATAACAGACAATCATTGACTGTAATAAAAATCTAAAAAGTTTTTTAGTGCGCGTCTATTAAAACATACTTTAAGTTTGTTTTTTCTTTCTTTTTTTTTTTAAATATAATCAAGAAATGAGATGCCAAAGGACATTTCTATTCTATTCTGCATGTTAATCTAATGTTATTTATAATTTAGATCATATATAGTGATGACACACAAATTATAGGGCAAATTTGCAGGGCCGTTTTTGAGAAATATAAATTGTGATTTGTTTACAAATAGAGTGGTGAAATAAATTGAAACCAGGAACAGGGATGTGTATCTCGTCTTGCTTGTGTGTGCTTAAAAACAGTGCTCCTTAGTGGTACAAGCGGTCAAATACTCCACAGGGCACTTTTAAGTAAAATCACACTCCCCCAGAATTACTGTGACATAAAGTGTGTCGGTGTCCACTGATGCAGAGTTACCCAAAGTATTTATGAGAAGGGAGAGTGGTGAGAAAGTCAATCCAATCAAAATTCAGTTAAATTAATCATCAAACAGGATCAAATGAGCAAAGAAGAAGTTTTATTATCCATTATTTGTACAGAGCTTCTTTATACAGAAGAATAATATACAGAAGACAAAGAATAAAAAGAATGGAATGACATTTTTACATGGAGTACCTTGAAAATCACAGGCACATTTGGGACAGTTTCAACTACATGGTAGTTATGTTTTAAACGGTCTCTTCTGACATTAACTGCAGGTCTGTTTGTTCTTAATGGTGGCAGCTCTACTCTGATCACATCTGCAAGCAAACATAACTACCCTCCATATCTGTAGCATCTGTCAATGTACCTGTATTTTCAGACTTTACTCATTCTAACTTTTTATAAACAAAAAATGGCGGATAAACTGTAACTCCATACAAAAACCTAACCCTAAATGTCGGCATATCCACTCTTCCTAGATTCATGGTTCACTGTCCTGAATACAGCAACAATTAAACTTTTCAAAGCTTGAACTATCAAAGCTTTACAGTTATTTCATTTATCTGGCGTCCATCTTTCAATAACACTTTCCCACAGTATGCATGGGTGGATATACCTTGTTCTTCATGGAGCGTGTTTTGCTTTGAACTCAGCTTGTGCACAGTGAGTCTGTGTGTGTTTTTGTGTGTGTATATGTGCATGTGTGTAGTTCATGTGTGTGTGCATGCCCCCAGGTCTTGAGTCAAGTTTCTCCTAAATAACAATAGAGTGGAGGTGTCTGAAGCACATGATGACATCCAGAGGGATGGGAGGGCTCAGGTGATTTCCATCCAAACGCAGGTACCTGAGGCAATAGAACAGTTCCTTAAAACGCCATTACCATGACGTCTATTCTGAAGAGCTCATTAGTTCCTTTTCTCACATTAGCAATTTTTTCTTCCTACCTATTTCCTTTCAAAGGGTGCAATTGCACAAGTTTTTATTGTTGAGTGCCAAGATGTGACATAATGTGACCTACCTTAGTCTGGGCAACAGGCTGTGATCGCTCAGGTCAGCCTGCAGGCTGTAAGGACAGATCAGGGTGCCATTGATGCCTGTAAAGAAAACACACTGTCATGAATGTCAAGTCCTCAAATGTTGTTTTCCTTCAAACAAGCAAAGGATTAAAAGAATGTAAATTGAATAAAATTATTTTATTCATTTATAATACTAATACTTTAATCTTGGTAATTTATTAGGCACTTACTAAAAGATAGTCCAAAGTGCTCAAGGAAAGATTTTTAAAAAAGACATAAATCAGTCATTGGGAAACAAATGGGGTCATGCAGTATAGCAGGAATAATACAAATGGGATGAACAGATTACAGACAAGACACCAAGAAGAAATGAATAAAATACAGTTACTAAGGAATCACCTCATATAAGAATTTACTTCTGAAGTTTGATTTAAACAGTTTTTTAAAAAGACTCTGTGATACTAAAGTGCAGCTTTTTATGGCCCTGCCAGAACAAACTTGTTCAGCTTTAGTCTCGATAGAGAAACAGTCATAACGGAACTGAAAAGCTGCTTGCTGACTCAAATAGGAAAGCAAGAATTAGCTAGCTTAGTCAAACCCAAAAAGTAAAATCTGTAAACTGTTTCACAACAGGAGAGCAAAATGACACAAACTTATTCTGAGAAGTAAGATACAGACCAAGTGCTAAGAATTATCAAATGACATTATTTGGAGACGTGTTTCTAGTCACCTGAGAAAAAAAAGTCCCAGCAGTCACTTTCTTTTTAGATCTGTTTTGGTCTCCACTTACGCTTGAGGAGAATATCTGGGTCCTTAGTTTGGTGGTCTGGTCTTAACAGAGCTTGATATGTCTTTTATACATATATATATATATATATATATATATATATATATAGTATTTGTACAGACTGCTTTATTGGCATCTCCCATAATCTCCTGCTAGCTTTGTTTCTCCTGTTACACCTTTATCATTCTAGTTAGTGCATGGAGTTTGGTGGCCTCCCAACATAGCCCTGCCCAGCATCAACCTGAACAGAGTGACTACTCGGAGAGAATGACGGGAAAACATCTGCACCGTGTGTATCTTTTAAAAACGCCTATATTAAAGCAGCATTAATTGATTTTCTGGCCACTTGAGGGCCTTAGAAACAAGATGTAAAAAACAAGATAGACGTGTTATGATGTCATGTCAAACAGCTGCGTATTTGCACTTATAGCAGACACAGAGACAGAGACAACATCAGGCTTAGTTAGATTTGTGTTTCTGGCATTACATTTCCGGCAAATGTAACTGTGTCCTTTTATGTCGGATTTGGTCCCTATCAGTAACTGAAAAAGTATCTGTCTCTTTAGCTGCTCCATTATGTTCACCAGCTAGCGGGTAACTTTGTCTGACCGCAGTTTGGTGTTGGGCAGGTACTGCACAGTGTGTTCATCAGTCATCAGTTATTTGTTCACACTGTGCACGCTGAATATCCTGTAAAGATTTGTGTTGTTGCCTTGTCTCAACTAACTGTCAGTGCGACATAAACATGTTTCTGCTGCACTTTTCTCACATTTACATTTGCCGGGTGGTGCTGGACTTACTCTCGATGCTGTTGTGGTTGAGATGCAGGTGCTCCAGGTGACCGTTGAAGAGAGGAACAGAGGCGAGCTGGTTGTGGGCCAGCTGCAGGTCCAGCAGGGAGGAAATGTTGAACACAGCCTTGGGAACTCCTTTGTCACTCAGCTGGTTGTAGTTCAGCCTCACAAACGCAAGGTGAGTGAAGCCTCTGAAGTAGTCTCTGAACAAGAGACAGGAAGAACAAATGAGATTTAACATCCAGCCAGTGTTTAATAATACATGCAGTGTGTGTGTGTGTGTGTGTGTGTGTTCATCAGCAATGTCACAATGTGTGAACTGTATACTTGCTTTGGGATGTCATCTATACGGTTCCTGTCCAGGAAAAGCTGAATGAGGCCACTGGGCACACCATCAGGCATCTTCTTCAGGACGTTGTGAGCCAGATTGAGCTGCATGAGGCTCTTCAGGTCCTTGAATGTGTTCTTTCCCAGGTCACTGTCACTCAGCTGAGGAGGAAGAGTATACACCATACAGTACAATATCAGTTACACGCTTGCGTTTGCTCCTGAGAGACACACAGGCGGTTGTCACTGTTCATACCTAAACAGCACCGTGTGGTAAGGTGTCCACAAAGGCACATTTAAACTGAGAGGTTTACCTGGTTGTGGTAGAGGTCCAGCAGAGTCAGGTTCCCCATCTTGCTGAAGGCACCAGCAGGGATCTTGGAAATACGGTTCTTAGCGAGGCGGAGCTGCTCCAGGCTTGCTGGCAGACCTGAAGGGACCTCTTTTAGGTGGTTACGGTGCACATAGAGATAGAGCAGTGCGGGGATCTTCTCAAATACCTGCATTAGATATAGACACAGAAGTTTTAGATGTATTGATGTTATTTTGAAATCATGAATGCTCATGGAGGAAACTCTCTGACCTTTTTGTCTATTCGATGAATACGGTTGTTTGCCAAGTTGATCCAGCGGACCTCAGTGGCGTTGATGAACGGCTCTGCCGTCACCTCTGAGATGTAGTTGTTCTGCAGGTACAAGTAGTGCGTTCTGGGTGGGATGACAGGGATCGCACGGATGTTCCGGTTCTCGCAGTTGAGAGAATTCGGATAGTCTGGGGAGCATAAACACTCTCGGGGGCAATCAGGAAAGATGGATGGCGGGCCCATGATGGGTGGGGGGAAGTCTGTGGGCTCCTGGGGCTCTGGCTGTGCCGGTACAGCAAGCTTGGGGACAGAAGGCTTCTTGGTGGTGACAGGGCGCCTGGTGGGCTTCTTTGGCCGAGGTCTCTGGGTGATCACTGCCCCCATCAGGAGGAACAGAGCCAATGCAGAGAAGAGTCCCGCGCCGGCCTTCATTGTCCTACAGCAGAGAAGAAAACAGAGGTAGTTCATTTTTTGTGAACAGTTACAAGGGTTAAGTAAAGAGAGAGAGAGAGAGAGAGAGAGAGAGAGAGAGAGAGAGAGAGAGAGAGAGAGAGAGAGAGAGAGACACAGAACACACAACACGTCATTTTTGGTTCTGCTTGTTAGCCAATATGGTGAGCTAATTCTACCCAGAAAGTTTAACAACTGGAACACATTGGTCCTTTTTCTGTTTCTTGCTCTGTGTGGCAGCTCTGGGGCAGTGCTGACTCTCAAGTGCGTACAAACCCTGTTCCCTTTATCCGCAGCCTTTTAGAGGCTGAGTGCAGACCAGTTGTCTCTGAATACACTGAAAACTTGAGTACGCAGCTGTTTGTATTTTGATTGTTCATATTTTGGGAGGGGCTTGGGAACATTTTTTTTTGACTTGCAGCAAAAATATTCACAATCCCTGCTGGTTTTTGTTCAAACTGTGTTGAGATAGGGCTGAACTGGCTGAAACAGTAGTATCAAGACAAACATGAAGCAGGTTTCTTTTGGACCTTAACCATGAAAACAGTGATTGTAGAATTGTAAACCAATACCTTCAGCAGTCTGCCACCTGAACTGTTACTACGCTTTTAACATCAAATATTATTACTGTGTGATGCTGTTCTTACAGGGAGGAAATGTTTCTATTTATGACTTCAGTGTCCTATTGCTTTGAAAATAATTAAGATTTGTACACTAAGCAAGTAGGCCTAGCCTGTTACTTTTACGATGTCAGTGTCTGTGTATGGATAAGGAAAGAATGCTAATGAATGCTATCAATCAATTATGATAAATAACTATAGTGTCGTTTGGTTTGTGGTTTGTTATTGTAAGAAAGACAGAGAGTAGGCAAGAAAGTCTAAGGCAGAATGATTGATGTTTAATTTAATTAAGTTCAAGTGTGGGAAGGGCAGATACTGATACAGGAAATTAGTACTTATGAGGAAGAGGAGAAGAAAAGTTTTGGGATAAAGGCTCTATTGTTTGCACTTGTCCAGAGGGAGAGCTGTGGAGGGGAAACTGTAGGTCTGGAAGGTTAAAGCTCTTTGACCCAGGAGAGGCCGAAAGGAAACTGGACCAAATCCCAATGAGACCCTGATTGATCTCTGTCTTAAATCAATGTACATATATGTTTTGAATTGCAAGATTAGGTGCATACTCTTTTATTTCCACCAGGAATATGTTTTCAGTGTGAATTAGTCTTTCAGAGTTGTTTCAGAGATTAAGAACTTGGCATAAATGGTGTTACAAACTCATCTAACACACACCCAAGAGTTTGAACTTTCAGCAGGAGAACAGATGGGAGGTGATTTTAGGTTTTGTACTGTAATTGATGACTTTTTAAAAAATGTGTCCGACAGATGTTTGCAACTTACATCAGTTAAGCTCATGTGTGTGTAAAATGTAATGACCTCCATCTTCTCAGGCTGGAAGACAGACTGACAGAGACTCACACACACAGATGCAGATGTTTGACCTTTGATCACAAGAATGTACAGCGGAGATAAGTTCACTTTTCAAAGTGGAGAGATATCGTTTCAGGCGGAGTTGGCTGCGTCTTTTAATCCCAATCTTTTAGATTGTACAGAATGTCTGTCTGTGTGCATATGTTTCTTTGAACTGTGCATTGTAGCCCAGCAGCATAACCCTGCTGTAAACTGTCCCCACACAGCTGTCAAAATAATGCTTTGGTACAAATGCACATTATTTTCCAATCACTTTTTAGGAAAGCATCTGGCCAATTTTTGATAAACGTCACAAATGAATCACGGGGCAGGAATGAGGCTTAGAGCCAAAATCTGTCCCGCCTGGAAAAACATATCTGAACTTTTTTCTGATGATGTTCACTGGCACTGCCCTTCCTTTTCCCTCTCTGCCTTTCAGAGCCTCCCAGGCCCTCGCTCAAAACCACAACCAGCCCTTCTCCCCCCTCGTGCTGCTGCTGTCTTGACCGGTAGTCTGGCAAACAACTAAAGACCCAAAGTCAGAGATGCCTGACTCATTGGTTTGTTATTTGTGACCTAAATAAGTAAATCTGATTCATATCAGTGTGTGAACTGCACTTATTGCAGTGGTTTAGTGATTCTTGTAGTAAATCTCTGCACTAATCTTTGGAACACACAAAATGGTAAACCATGTTATAATACATTAACCATCTTCTGTTGCTTTCAATCACAGTACATAATCTTCATTAGCAGATGGAGTTTGTCCAGTTGTCATGAAAATGTTGAATTATAATTCTGTAATCCCACAACAAATCAACTTTCGATGCAGCCACTCATTGGATTTAATGGTGAATTCATCTTCTCAACTGCTGTTTCCAAGGTGAGCAATGCAGTTTGAACCTCGTTGACGTTTCAGTTTTAATTATCTTGAATGGAAATTCCAAATATTTCCACTAATTTTAAAGACCAGCCATAATTGAATATTAACATAGTATTGAAATTATATTGACTTTCTCATGATTTAAGTTGTTTTTATTGTGTTGTGTTTTTTGTACATCAAAGACCAAAATATTATTGCAGATTTTTTAAATGGCAGCTATCTTTAAAAACGAAAGCTATGGTTATGATATCTTTTCAATTTTAGCACTAGTTGCATCTTAATACCAGGTAAAAGCCCTTATAAAATAAATTAGTTTATAAATGTATTTATAACATCACAACTGTATATTCAGACTGTTGTTTATGTTTATGTGTATCATAATTCTCATTCTCGAGGAGCAGCCAGAGAAATAAAGCTTTATTCCCACAACATCATCGATCGATGAGCTCTTTCCCATTCATCACAATTTCTTACTTTTTTTTTGGCAGAGCTGCTGCAGAGCTGCTGCTGTCATACTTGAAACCAAAAATCATCACCAGTGTTTTGTAATGCCACTAACAAAGCCACGAATAAGAGTTGCGTCATTCAGAGCAGAGTTCAGAAATCTGACTCAAGATATCTGAAAATATCTGTAATTAATCAACACAATTACAAATGTCTCTAAATATCTTTCAACGTGTGTGCTGAGATAAATATGTGACATAAAACAAACTGTATCATCTGACTGTCATCATGGGTTATGGAGATGCGTTTTATGTGGCTGATACACACACACAAACACACACACACACACACACACACACACACACACACGCATAGTTTCCGTTCTGCATTGGAGCTTCACCCATGATAAAGGAATCTGGCCTCCTTTTGAAACCATCATCCACAGCAGATACTTTACACTGGTGCCAAAACATTTCCTCATGTGGGTGTGGCAGTCCTGCAGTGGCTGTGCAAGACTGGATCTATATGCATCTGGATGTGCAGTGAAAGAGTTGGAAGGCGCACTGACAAAAATAGTTAATGAACAGAAATATGATGATTATAATCCAAACTAACTTGGAAGTATAGAAGAAACAGAACTCAGCACCATCAGGCTCCTGCAGGCAATCTGTTCTCCTGCCTGACTGGACACTGTCATCATTGTCTCTTTGTCCTGATCATCAGTCAGCTCAGTCTAGATCGAGCAATGTTTTCCTTTTACGTTCATCACACGCTGCAAAGAAGGACTTTTCTAAACATTCAAGGTACTTGAAATACAACAAATCAGAACAGCCTGTGTTTTTAAAAACAAAAACAAAATAAGCATGCCTTTTTAACTCATTTCCAGAGTCCTTCTTTTCAGTTTTATTTTGGCCTTTGGTTAACACCCATCCAGGGAAGATGATCCGTCAGAATTTGAAAAATAAATTACAACTTCACAGCTGAATTAGTAAAATTCCTTTCAGCAAGAAAAAAACAAACAAAACAAAACTGCTTGTAAAACTCTGAGGATCCATCTGATGAGCTGCAAAAATGAAGATCCTTCTGAACCAGCCAAAGTGAGCCACAGGCCTGTTTTTATAACCACGACTAAAGCTGCACTTCATATTTTAACTCTTCTGCAGCAGCAGCTCTCCCCTCTCACCGATGGATAAAGCTGGAATCAAGGTGAGCATGCAGGAGCGGAGAAAAACGTCAGATTGAAAGTGTGTGGCAGCTCACTGGAGGACAGAGTACCACTTTGTATGGCACAGCGTTTCTATAGAAACACACCAGCATGGCCCAGCTGTGCCAGTGCCAGGATCCCCTCTCAGTCCACAAACAGACACTCACACTGCTCTTGCTGCTTCTGTTTCACGCACGAACACACTCCTGCCTCTTCTTATCTTATTGATCATGCCTCATCAAAAAAAGCCCCCTGGAAACAACAAATAAAGTTTCTTACCTGCCTCTGGTACCTGCCCTCTTTTGTCAAGTCACAAGTTTTGTGTCTTTTCGTCTCTCTGCCTCTCTCACTCTTGTCCTACCCCTCCCTCTCTCTTCCTCTCTCTCTCTTCCTCTGTTTCTCTCCGTCCCTAACCCTCCCCTCCCTCTCGCTCTCCCTCTCTCTCTCCTTTGGTGGACAAGCCTGCCTGTTGGGTTTGTTACTTGGCTTTTTTCCCCTCTGAAGGTCACAGTGGTTCTTTCTCCCCCTCTGCTCGGCTCAGGGCCAGAGAGATTTAATCTTAATTCCTTCTGGAAGACCGCAGACTCTTTCATGTGACTAAACTGTGTCACAGTTTGTTATTATTTTGTTCTGTCACCGCAGAGCAGGAGGGTGTTTGTATCAAAAAGGCAAAAAAAAAAGGGGGGGGGGGGGGGGGGCGTGGCTTTGCTTGCATATTTATCTATGCACAAGCATGTGTTTCTATATCAGAAGACTTTTGTGAACACTGGACCTCTGTTAGGGAAAGCCCAGCTGTAATTGCATCTCTTCTCTGTCTCCCACCCACTCTGCTATTGTTTAGATGAGTGCACACAGATCCAGTCATGTGTTTTTCATTAGCAGCATCTCTCTGCTGACTCCATGGCATCTTTTCTGTGTCAGTTAAGTGTCCAGAGAGATTTTTTCCCCTCCAGCATCAGTAAACTCAAACAGTCTGATTACTGAGATCCAGCTGCAGCATGATGTGTATGTATGTGTGTGTGTGTGTGTGTGTGTGTGGGGCGGTCTTACAGGAAATGGGGCTGTGTGGCACTCTGATTAACAAAGTGTAGAGCATCTATATATGTGTGTGTTTGTGTGTGCTTATATGTCACTGGGGGATAGCAAGCAGACATGTGTTTGCTGCACTGCATTCCTGCAGAGTGAGCTGCAGCCAAAGTATAATGAGGCAAACACATGTGGGGAAAAGTCTGAAACACACATGTACATGTACATGTGGCTCCTTCTTGCACTTTCCCCTCACATTCTTTCTCTTTTCATGATTTCTCCCCACTGCACTCCCGTCTCCTTTTCACTCAGTCACCAGCATACTGAGCTCAGCCAGATCAGACTAAGGATACTTCCACAAATAGGACAATGAGCGAGAAAAAGTAAAAATGTGAACATGTAACAAACGCGTCACTTGTCAGGTGGTTGCTGTTTCTTGCTCATCCTCTCTGCTGCCATTTAAGGGAGGCTTGCGAGGATGCTATTTAATGACTCAGCTCCTCTGATCAACTGCAGCAACCTAATTTCTCTGTAAGAGTTTTTGTTGTGTGCAGGGATGACATCACTGGAAAGAGTTGCTCATTAACAGCAATGTTTCACGATTTTATGTCCATAATGTAATATCATCAGAAATGAATTTAGAACAGCACATTTAAAACGTTTGAATGGAATAAACTGGAAATTAAAGGAAAGATAATTCTCTGAATGAGGTGGTCTGCCACAAATTGTCGGCTTCTCTTTGGCATGGCACCGATGTTAAATGTGACGGGCTCGGTCTGTGGCTGCAGAGCTGCCTCTACATAAATGGCAACAACAATGGAGGCCTGACGGACAATACAGTGTGTGCCTGTGTCACATTAGTGAGAATCTCTCATGATCAGTTCCACTCTCACAATTAATTTGCGATATTATTTATAGTGTTATTAGGACTTAGTAAGGGTAATATACTCCACTATCCAGTCTAAGTGGAAACACAACATAGGATGAGGATGTTGGATTAGGACAAAATATAGTTGTCCAAGAAATCAATCAATCAATCAATCAATCAATCAATCAATCAATCAATCAATCAATCAATCAATCAATCAACTGTGGGAATTTGGGAGACAAACTATGAAAGCAAATCTAATGAAGCTGAGTTCAATGAAAGTTCAATCAGGAAGACTATCTCTACTCCGCTTTCTTTCACAATTCTGTAGATTCTCCCTCTCTCACCCCACTCCTTCAGGTGTTCGGCAACCAATCAGATCTCGCCACGATCTCAACCAACCAGTCACATCATCTCTGTCACAATTAAAAATATGTTCTCCTCTCTGCTGCTGTCATTTCCGTGCATTTGCTGCGACCCTCCTCCTCCCCTTCTACCTCCAGTCTTCATATCCAGTCACGCCGAGCTCATCATCGCTTGTCATCACATCCAGATCTCCAGCTTCTCTTCTTTGAATTTACAGTGTTTAGACTCTGGGGGGTTTGTTATACTTTGCACAGCCTCACCCCCTTTTCACATATGATGACATCATGATGGGGTCTAATTGCTTTTCCTCTCTTGTTTCGCTCATGGCAATAAAAGTTTGTTCGTTTTTTCTTCGCTTGATGAACATCTTCTGTTTTTTCCTTTTCTTACCTGTCAAAAATCTGTCCATTGTACTTGGAATTAAATCTTTAACCTACATGAGCCTTTATGGACATGCTAGTGTGTTTATATTCTCACCTTAGGTTTTCTGTCAGACATTTAGGTCTAGCGTCCTGTGTTGACAACGTGTAAGAGGTTGCCTTTCAGATGTTTACAGTTGTGCAGTCACATGGCCGTCATCTCATGGCGCTACCTATTTAGACACCATTCATGTATTAGAATACATTTTGATGTATCATGTATTTCTTTGTGCACTTATCACAGCTTAAAAGTAGCTAACCTTAGAGAATAAAACTGTGTGGTTTGGATTAGCATGTGAGAACTGAGTCACATGGGCCGAGGAATGTAACTACTTGGCCCAGCAGCGCTCAGATACACAGAGCCTGGGCAGAGATGGTGGGATGTCGGTGCTCTGTTTTTCAGGGCTGAATTCAACCTGTTGATTCAAGAAAAGAGATATTTATAGTGGCAGACAACCGGTCTTTACTGCAGGAAATCTTTAAGCTGCAGTCCTCCTCATTGCTTTTGCATTTTGCAGCTGCTGCTCTCCAGGCAGATGCAAAGAGTGAGGCAGGCTCAGGCTCCTGCCCAGAATGACTTGGTGTGTATAATAAGCTGAGAACTTTCCAAGAACGGCATGTTCTGTCATCTGCAGAGTGATTTGGATGATTGAGCTGTTTGGTTTAAAGGAGACGCGCGCATGAGTTTCTGCCAGAAATGTTCCCAAAGGAAATACAGACAGATGAAAATAAATATTCCACAACATTTACTGACAACGATCTAATCCGTTTCACAGCATCCTGTAAGCACTGCGTATACAAGTTCTGCGGGACACGCCCACTTTTTCTTTTCCAAAGTCAACTCTAAATCCACGAGTTTGGACGCCCATGTTGGTAAATGTTAGCAGTCTTTTATAAAACCAAGTTTTTACAGTATTCTCATTGTCTTTGCCCTCTTAAATAATTGTGATTACACAAATTATATTATTATTGTATTAATCATGATGAGTAAACTTTGTTATTCACTCAACACAGTGTGTTTATAGGAATAGATTTAGTGCATAAACATGCAGCAGATGAAGTCAAAACAAACTCTGCATCCCTTCACTGCTTGTTTTATCTGCCAAAGATAAAGTGTACAGACATGTTAAGTTTTCATGCTTTTGTTTGTAGCTCCACGACCAAGAGCTGCCTAAAAATAGGACACAGCATGCCACTGCAGCAGGTATTTGGAAGGCCCTTTGTTTATCTATAAAGTCCAATGGAAAATATTTCTCTCATCTTGAAATTGTTAAAATTAATTTCTGTCTTTCAATATAAATGCCAGTGAATTATACGGTCTAACTTCTTCAAGCTTATCACATCATTGAAATGAAAATGTTATAACGCACACTTGAACACCATCAGTAACTGTGGATCCAAAATGTTATGTCCAGGAACAGCCTCCATCATAACAACAGCCTCCTGTACAGCAAACTACCGTAAAACTGCTGTTTGTGTCACAGCATCTACAGTCACAAGAGTTGTGGCTAATACGCAACACCAAAGGCAGCTGCTGAGACTGAGGAGCATTACGTAATGCGTGAAATCATACAACACATGCTATTAACTGAAAAGCACTTTCTCAAGTTAACATATTGTTGCGCATGCCAGTAGAAAGAAACCACCTGGACAGTGGACGATGCATTAAATGAAACGTTGTCCAGCCCAGGCAGACTTCAGCTCATGCACTACACACAATCTGATGAGCTTCAGTCACAACCGGTGCCGTGACTTCTTGGAGCAAGTTATTTAATTATAACTTTTTTCAGCAATGGTTTTCTTCACAGGTGACTTGAAATGCTTGACACCTTTGTTATTCTCTTTGGATTTGACAGCTGGGTGTAATCCACAGCTGACTGCGATCCAATGACTGTGAATGGTTGATTGAAGACATCCGTCTGCATATTGCACAGTCAAGCCAGAAACCATGATGAAGCCAGCTTGTCTGTGACATGTTGGTTTGTTTAAAGTGCATGAAATATATAGGTTTTACATGCCTTTCATTAAAAACACCCAACACTTGCCAGAACTGATTTTCATGTGGTTCAGACATCTTGTTATAAGTTTTCCTTTTCTTATTGCTCCTTCTGCACGTTATTTTGATTGCTATGTTACAGTTTAATTAGTGCTTGGAAATTCATCACAGCAGTTTTTGTCAGTAATTACCCAGTGAATAAGAAAGTGTTAATATCATGTACAATAGTGCTGTCCTCTAAATCATAATGCACCTGTCTGTCACGCGAACAGGTAGATGTACTGCGAGTACTCGAAAGTTATGGCTTGTTTTGGAAGATTTTATGTTAAATACACACATAATTTGTTTGCTTTTTCTCATCTGCATTTCCTTCACGGAGGGTGGAAGTCACTGTTCGCTCTCTATAGTTAGGCACATTTACCGCTTTAAGAGCCAAGTCATTTTTGAAACAATGGGGTTCTTGATTTCAGAGGTAGACAGAAGCAGGCTTGGCATTTCTAGGTGGCAGCAGTTGTTGGGCAAAATGACTACTCTCGTTGGCACAGCCGATCATCTGAAGCAAGCAACCGAATGAACATTACTTTACCACAAGTAGACACAACACTGTCCAATCCGAAACTCACCCGACCTGCCATTCCTAGTTACTGTTGCTAATAAGTGGAGATTAAACAACCGCTGTTCGGGGGAG